CGGAAATACGAGGGTTTAATCAGAGGATGCTGTTCATTTTCAGTTAGTTACTCAACGGACTGTGCACGAGATAAGGAAATTGTTGGAGCCGGCGCATTATTTAATGATCTACGCGAACAATTTTCAGTGTTTAGCGCTTTTCCGCAATTGGATTAATAAAGACCAATGTCAGGACATTTTTTATTTCGTTCTTCTTTAAAAGGGTCGTAAATCTTAAGACACAATTTATCTTTTTGCAAAATATTTTTTTTTAATTAAAGTAAAAAAAATTGAGTTCTTTATACTATTTTTTCTTTTTCTTAAAATTTTATTTTAGAAAAAGTCGAATTAATATACATATTTACATAAATATATATTATTTTTGGTATTTAGCAACAAAATATATATTATTCTGAAAAAGATAGTCAAACAGCAAGTATTTGCCATGTAGACGCAACGAAAAATTTTATTCAACGCTTACACAATACTATTTTTTATCTGGACCCAATAAATATTCAAACATTTAAATTCGAACGAATTCATTCGCAACAATATATTGTTAATTTAAATTTAAGTACACGGATTGAACACGTCATGTGACACAAATGGCAATAGTCAGTAGTGGAAGGTGTACGCTTTGAAATCGCTTTAAATTTAAATTACAAATTTTGCTAACGATCCGGTAAATTTTACTTATTTGGAAATGTGCATATTTATGTTTTACGCCTACATTCAAGGTCAATAGGAACATCAAATACACATAGATTAATAGTTATGGAGTCATGAATGTTTGTATTTGTTTATAATAAATTGTCTAGTCTAATGTATATATTGTATTACACACAATCATATAAAACTGTAATTTTCCAAATGATCTTACGATTTTAAGCGTTAAAAGAAAGTAAAATAGTCTACCCATTAATATCAAAACACATTATAAAAAAATTTGAGTGAATTTAATGTGCGATTTAACATTTGATTAAAAAATCATTATCTCGTAAACCAATTACAAAAATTAATGTAAATTTCAGAGGATGTTGAAAAATGAATGCAAGGAGCAATTTATTGTTGCTAATGTTTATTATTTGAAAAAATTACAATTTTACCACTGAGACAATTGAATTAAAAATTGCACAGGACTAAATTAATACCACAGAAATATGGTCGCAAGTCATTAGGAAAATTTCTACTTATACCTTCCAATATAAAGTTTAGACTAAATAAAAAACTTAAAATATAAGATATGACAAATTATAAAATAAAAAATATATTTTATGTGCCTAAAACTCCAGTCTCTAAATAAATAATGTTAAAAATGGTAAAAATAGAAAATATTTAAAACATTCAAATTTTTATGACAAGATAATTTTGTCATGTGCAAAATTAAATATTAATAGGCATACTGATAAGATAAAACATGTGGGTAAAAAAGGTAAATATAAAAAACAATATTTAATTAACACACATACATAAGTATTAAAAATTAACATTTATATTAGGATAAAAATCCTTAAAAAATGTGTACGAGTTTATCAGATAAACTTGTAGTAAAAAATACACCAAAATTTAATTTTTTCTTTACCCGCGCTGAAAGGCAAAGACCCCCGAATTAGTTTTAATATTTATGGCTTCTGGTGCGAAGTTGTAAAGCGGTTCCCACTTTAAAGTGCCTTTTAATTAAATTAAATAATTAACATTCAACTGGGCACCGTAAATTTATGAAATGCACCCCCGAGACGTACGCAGCAAATGGCAAGTCGCTCTCTCAAACTCAACCAACATTAAGACCGGAAATAGGGACCCTAAGCCGGCAGGTTAATTGACAAAAAAAAGTTTAAAATATTGTCTTAGAATTTTATAGTATATATATATATATTTTGTATCAAGTTGTTGTCACTGGTTTTCAAACTGGTTAAAATTAACAAATATTCTTTTAGACAAAAATTTTAAAGAAATATTTTCAAATATTTTCAAAAAAAGTTTAAAATATTGTCTTAGAATTTTATAGTATATATATATATTTTGTATCAAGTTGTTGTCACTGGTTTTCAAACTGGTTAAAATTAACAAATATTCTTTTAGACAAAAATTTTAAAGAAATATTTTCAAATTTGTATTTTCTCGTTCTGTGTTATCTTGGAAAATGAAAAAAGTTCGGATTACTGAATAAGTAAACAATAAAATATGTATGTATTTCTTACCTAAGACAAACGTTTCCCTTTCGTTTGTTTCTGCGATTTCCCAGGCTGGCTAGATTTTAATTAACTTGAGATAATAGCATTCACTATGCATGAATAAGGTAAACCGACTCATAATTAAATTAACATAATTGAATTTATGAAAGGCATTATTCACTTTACTAGAAAAATGTGGTTAAGTTAATATTATTAATAATGTCTATTTTACTTTCTTGCCCAGAAATTCAAAGCTTTGTTATGATTAAGGCTTTTTGTATCCCTTTGAAATTAAAACCCAAAATTTGTAATAATAACCACGTATGCATCTTGTTTAATACACCTGAGTATTAAAAAAAAAGTAAAAAAAACATACACATACACATACACTTAGTGCATTGTTCCATAGCGGATGTGAATCTGTCTTGAAGTAGTAAGTATTGTTTGAAACAATCACGGTCTGTGACTGGGCATAATCGACATGGAAAATTACTTTTTTATATCCGTTCTTTTTTCGAACTGTCCTCAAACAGCTGCTTCTTTTTAACATCCTACACGTACAACGTTGGACGACCTTAACTTATTAGCGCTTTTGTGACTCATGCATTGAACATGATAATGTGTTTATTTGAATTAATTAACAGTTTTGTAATTAATTTTTATGAGTTTATGCGTCATATTATCTTTATTGAATTGTAGACTTAAATATTGACACTTTAAGATTCTAACCTTTATAATCTGTGATTCTAAAATTAGAGCATTTCTTGAAGTTTTGTAAAACTGTTGATTTCAATATTTAAAACCTTAGATTGATGTTAATTTTTGTTGAACATGTATTTTTATTAGGATTTGAAGAGAATATAAACTTTTAATTGTCTTAGCTAAAATAGAAAGTGTCAAGTCGTTTATACACAATAGTGATAATTATTGTTATTGAAATTGATCCGTCTAATCTATTTTAAGCTCAAATATGTTACATTAGCTATGTCGCCGGCTAGCAGCCATTTTTAATCATTATTGACAGTTCGCACATTGTTTCTGCGGGTACCTAAATTTAGGTTTTAATTGGGTGAATGATGTTTGAGAAAATTAAGATTTACAGTGCTTTGCAATTAAACTATTAGTCTTGTTAAAAGGAAAGTATAATGTAAGAAGTTGTAAATTGGTTTAAAGAGGGTTATTATCCACGGAAAGTTTTTATAATAGTAACACATTTGTTAATTGAAAGTCAATATTGCCATAATAAATTATATACCTACAACGAGAAATCTCAATGAAAGCATGATACAATATAGATACAATATAGATACAAAAATCTTAGTAGACTAGTGAATGAGTAATGGTTGTTTCACATAAATACTATCTTGATGTCAATTCAATATGCAAAACTGTTTCGTAACGACTATTAAAATGCGGTAAATAGGTAATTAAGTAAGCCTAGACAAATTGTCCGGTTTTATATTTATTATTATGTTTCCTACTTTCACAGTAATACAACCCATTGTGAAAAATAATTGTAAGCTTAAAATAAAATAAAATATATTTATTTTATTTATGAATCAGTTACTCTTAAATTTGCGGTCGAAAAATGTCTAAATAATTATTACAAATGGTGTCATCAAGGTTGTATTTTGTTGGGTGCCTTAGATTTTAATTGAGAAAATATAATAGTCAATACAACCAAAATATAGTAGTTATAGTTTATATAAATTTCAAAAACCGAATTTAATAAAACTTATTAGGTTTTTCGTAATGGGTAAATTCAAATTGAAATTTAAATAGGTAATTATTTCTCAGTAAAAATTTAAATTATTTTACATGTGTTTTTTGTATTTAAAGAGCACTCGAAATGGGCTTAATTTAATGTAGTTGCGCTGGGGTCATCCCAAAGTTCTATAAATATTTAAAATTAAAATTTGGGTACGCTATTGCTTTTTGTAATTTTATTATTATTATATAAAACATACAAACATTCTTGTTTTTGCTAATAAACACAAATATGTATATATCTAACTATTACATTTGGTTAACTCCATGGAGATCCTGTTAAAAAAAATATAAATTTTTGTAAATAATTCTGTTAATTTAACTTTTGATTTAAAGAACAAATAATATGTTACCATGCTTAACAATATTTATTATCCGAAGCCTAATAAAAAAAAGAAATTTAAATCGAGAAGGTCCTAATTAAAATCTAACACTATTTCCTAAAACTGGTGTGGGGCAACATCAAAACAATCAAGGGTCTAAGCCCTTTACAAATAATTTCTAAAGACAAACTAAAATGTACCCATGGATCTTTATTACTAAGAAATGCCACTTTAGCATCTGTTTAATGTCAGAAGGTTTTTATACCTGAACACATTAGTTAAAACCTAAATATTTAACAGATTTAACACATTTTTCTTACACTTATACTTACAAGAAAGTATAATGTTCTTTCTTTAACTTTGTTTTCAATGTTACATACTTTTAGTGCCGCAGTTTTGGTATTTTAGAAATTTTGTGTAATTAATTTGGTCCGTCATGATAACAGCCCGAGGAGTTGATGAACTGAACATAAAAATATGTAAATAAAATGATAACTTTATTTTACTTAATAGTCCATTGTTACAAATTTAAAAATATTAATTAAATATTCTGTATTATTTTTTAACTAAAAAAACTTACTCTAAAGAAGATAAAGAATCCCTCCTATATCCCTGCGACTGCAACAAAATGCTGGTATACCTAGTGATCATCATATTGAAAACTGTCACTGTCACCCCTAAATACAATAAAAAACAAACGACCACTGACACCAAACGAACGTAAACACAAACAACAAACAAATCAGAGGAGTCGGCGATGCACCGAAAGCACAGCACGCGCGATCACGCTGCACAAACTAAAACCATCGAACATCGAAGTGTCCGAGAAGCGAAGCCGACTAGATGTAGAGTAAGTATACTTGGTAAATATAGTACGAGTACCCAAGCACATGGGGACGGCCTTGCACCACGCGACAGAGTTTACCCACCTTGTGTGTTTACGACAAAAAAACACAAAGCTATAAAATCGTGTATGCACATACGATGGGTCTATTTTTAGAGCAATGCATGGTGAACGGGATTCTGCAGTGACGTAGCGAGGGGTAAAATTAATGGTTACCCTGTAATATTTTGGAAGTCTGTTGCAAAATGTTTAATAAACAAATTAAATTATGCATGAAACTGTTCAACGTTCTTATTACGCGTCCACACTCTTTCTTTGTGTAAGGTTTTATATTTATACATAATTTCTGAGCACAAATCTGCGCGCCCAGATAACTTTCTGGACAATATGGCTACACGAATGTTTTTTTTTTAATATTTTTATAAATTATTTGCTTGAATACCATAGTACGCCACTGCGGAAATGAAACACTTAGACGGTATAAAATAGTTCTTCAAACAGAAGCGGCAATGCGCCGTTGAAATAATCTGTTGATACTTGAAAGTAATTTATGGAAATTGTTAAAAGCGTATAAGATATATCAACAAAAACATTTAAAGAAATGCAAATTATTATATTAATCTCACTCATCAAAGTGCATATGTGTCTACTATATAGATCCTGTCTAGACTACACAGTAAAAAATATTTGTTAATTTTAACCACATACCTACATAAATGAACACAAAAATAACACATCATTCTGAAATCATCAAATTATAAAGAAATTTGGTACAATATAATTTTTAGTACTACTACAAAACTTACTGAATATTTCGTAACTTTAACCCACTTCACTGTATCCTCTCATTTCAGTTTGAAAACCAGTGATGGCATCTTTTTAGGATACATTGCACTTTGCACAATCGTTAAATAGACACTGAAGTCAGTTGAACTTGTTGATGCGTATTATCAGTGGGAAATGTTTTGATTGACTGCCTGAAATCACGTGTATTTATTCAACGAAATAATTTGCTAAATATTAACAAAACAATCTGTTAAAAATATGTAAGCTTTTAGGAGCCTAACTTGTAGGGCACTAATATTTCTATTTGTTGAACTTTGGCCAAAGCTAAAAGCGTTACGATTCATGGGGGATTTTCTGTGTGACATTTTCCAGCGACTTTGTTTAGGGAATAACTTTACGACGGCAATAAGCGAGGCTGGATTGTTTCAATTTTCTTTGAGGCGCGACTTTTCTGAAACGACAATTAAGCCATAAAGCAGTCGATATAACGCTCAAAACGGGCCACTTTTTATTATAACTCGGCGCACTAAAAATTTTACGATCCTGGTTGCCGCTTATTTTCACGAACTGTTTCGAGCTAGTTGTGATCTTTTATTGCTGGCTGTCTTAATTTTTATTGTAGTGGTATTACGTTTTATTGAACATAACACTTTATCCAGTATTCGATTAAGAGGATTGTTTGTTTTGAGTCGTAAATTATGGTATAAGTAGCTTGAAAGAAGTCTAAATATATCTAAATGAATACAATGCAATAAGGAAGATTTGCTAAGAGTTTTTAGAATTTGGATTAGACTGATCAAAGGCAATTTTCCTGCAAAAACATGTTTTGAAAAATTATTAGATAAAAACAACATGTTTAAAACTTTACCTAGGTAAACTTACATAAATAAACTTAAAAGTAATAATAAGATATTTTAATTTTAAGGTAGTATTTATAACCCAAAGGTATAATTTTAATATACATATAGCATGATTTTTAAAAATTGATTCATAGTGAATGTTACTGTGTCACAGTCAGCATTAAGTTTATAACAATGGAAAATACATTTAACAGATATAAGCTTACTAAATTAATTAATTTATATCAGAGATTTCCAAATTTGTATAATGTTGGGTCTCCCTTATACAAGAATAAGGAGAAGATGGCTGAATCCTTACAGCACATTTGTAGGGAACTGAACGAACAGTGTGGTACTACATTTGCCATGGAAGAAGTGTGGAAAACATTGAACGGACTTCGGAAAAGCTATTTCCACGAGGTTAAAAAGATAAGGAAAAACAGAAGATATTCGTCAACTTTGTGGTGTTTTCATGATATTTGTTTTCTAAATAATGGTACACTTTCAGTGGAGGGTAAATCAGATTTTGTATCTTATGAAGAACTTAGTACTTTTTATGATGGCCAAACTTATACCCACATCCCGGATCATTTTGAGAGGTTGGGGAATATGGTAGCCATAGAATTAAGAAAACTGGAAGACGAAGTAATCTTAGGAAGGGCAGAAACTCATATTGTACAAGTTATTGCTGAAGCCTTAGTTGAATATGATTATTATTATGATTAAACGAAGTGAAATAAAAAATATACTTCATATTATGTTTGCATTTTTCGTTACTATTATCTTTATAAATTTGTACAACAACAAAGTGAACAAAATACATCATTCTTCCTTGTTTTGTTACCTGTCTAAACTTTGTTTGGTTTTATCTTAGTTTGGTTGGGGAAAGCCTTATCAATATCCTATAAAGCTCACGAAAACCCGATAAAAAATAATTGCTTTATTCGTGGCGGGTAATGTTGCATTGTATGTCACGCTATAGCTCTATAACAATTTTCACTGGCTGTTCAAACTTTCCTACAGCATGTACTCGTTTTCCACAACTTTTTCTATTATGCTTGAAAGTTTCAAGCGTTAGTTTTAACCTACGCCATTAGAATAAGCATGTAATGTTATAGTTTTGTTTTGTAAACAATCATACAAATTTTAAATGACTATCTAGTAACTATCTAAAAATGGGTAATTTTTGGAAATGACTCAAAATAGTGCTTTTTTATGATTATTTTTATAATCAAATATCCTCGATTCTAACCTCCTTAATTTAAATTTTAAACTACAAAACTCTAATAGATGAAAACGTCGCCAATAACAAACGGCGGCAATTTTTTGCGGCGAGTGTTTTTGAGAGGCGTCGTCAGCGTCGCGAGGTCTTCGAGGCCGTCGCCATGTTTTCTATGTCGCAGTTATCTAACAACGTACAATAATCAAAAGTTCTGGGCTTCACGTTATTTACGCCCTCCCGGGGGACCACTAAACATTCCGCTCAATCTGCATGAAGTGCCGAAATGATCCGCATAAGTATACGCATAAACCTGTCAACGAAATATGCCAACTTTGCCACTGCTACTGGAGTCATTTAGACTTGTTTTTTTTGAGTTCTAAATGAGTTATGTTGTTTTCAGAATATTTAAGGTAACGATAAAACAACAGTTTAATTACTGTCCGTTCAGGCTAAGTTGAGCGGTCTAAGGAATGTCAAGCCGTCCATCATCTCTATGTTCAAGCACAATTAAATACATGTATTTTGGTAGCCCCTCTGTACGAAGAAACGGCAAGCTGCGGCACTGATAAATCATCTTCTTGTCAACGAAATCTCGCGACGATTCGATATTTAATTTAATCAACGGTCATATGATCTCCCGCCAAAGCGCTCAACTTAGCCTGAACGGACTATAAAACATTTTATCTTATTATTTTGATAATAAGAAGATCAAATTTTAATGCATTTTTTAATTATAATTTTTAAAACATTTGTTAACTTTAGATAGTTTTAAGGACATTTTTGGTAAATTTTTTGTAATTTTAATAAAGTTTAGGTGTTAAATACATTTTGGGTCATTTTTAGACAGTTTTAAGATAGTTTTAAACTTTTTCGTTTCATAAACAAAATTTAGACATTTTTTATACAGTTTGGTTTATTTTAAATAGTTTTAAGGACATTTTTAGTTATTTTAAAGTTATAATAAAGTTTAGGTGTTTAAATACATATTGGGTCATTTCAGTCTGTTATAATACATTTAGAGTCATTTTAGACAGTTAGTTTTAGAACATTTTTTATACAGTTTAGTTTATTTTATATAGTTTTCATACAACTGCAGTTGATTTTTAGATATATTTAAGGCATTTTCAAAAGTCGAACCTAAAACGAAACAAAATATTTGTTAAATAAACCTTAGAAATATTAATCATACTTTTTGAATAGGTTATCAACAATCGTATAAGCTAAATTTTATAATATCTGTCTTGCAATGTTGTCCCAATAATATATCTACTAATAACGACTTGTGAAGTGAATAATTTGCACCACACCTATATTATTACTTTAATACTCATACATTATGAAAACAAAGGTAATAAACATTGTCGGGCAATTATCGTGTCCAAACTTTATGCATGCATTTAACCTCTTTAAATTAAACCCTCTTTGTTTTGCTGTACACTATTTATATGCAGCGTGAAATTTGCTCGAGTATGTAACTAACGTTTGGCGTGCAATCCTGCTACAAAATACATTATGTTTTGTAAAAATTCGGAGTTAAATTGTAAGCAATGTTTTGTTTATAATATTTTGATTTATATGTTGTGAAAGGAAAATTATTTACAGTGTATGATTCTATTTTTAAGTTTTACGTATCAACATTCATGTTTTATTGATATAATGTATGAGTATCTTCCTACATTAATTAAAAAAATATATATGGCTTGTTTTGGATGTCATTTCAAGGTCCAAAATTGGAGGTTTACTTAAAAATAAATATATGAACTATGATTTAATTGTAGTGGGCACTTTTAGGTAAAAATTAATTAAAATAATGCACTAATTTGTATAGAAAATTAACACATTAACACATTTTATGTGTATATATTTAATTGTGTATCTTATTTTTGTGTTTATTTATGCAATTATTACAAAAAAAATATGTTAAAATATTACAAAATAAAATTAACAAACTACAAACTCAAGTGAACAAATCTGATTTTTAAAACAGTGTATACAATACATTTTCATTTTTATTATTCCTTTTACCAATCCATTAAAATAAAAGTAAATAAAAGCATTAATATAACATAACATTGTTTGTTTTTCATCAAAGAACTTCTTTGTGTTGTTATGACAAAGTAGTTGCGTATTTCGCAGCAAAACCCATAAAAACTCCATTACCTAATGATCCCGTCGAATTAGAGAGGACCGGGCCGGGGATGCAAAAAGCCTGCGCTCCTTAATCAGGAGAAGAAGCAATCAGCCGGATCGTTGCAGGAGTGCGGTTAAGTACATATCACGGTACTTATCTTTTCTAGAGCCACCTGCTACGTTTTCAGGCTCTAATAGCGCTACAGCGCCTTTTCGTGTGTGTTTTTCCCGCACGCAAAAAACACTGGAGCGCTTTATTAAATCCTCGGCGGATTTTTCCGTTCAGCGCCCGCCGGGGAGGAGAGACTAATGTCGACATTAAGACGTATAAAAGGAGGTATTTTCGTTATTAAATTTTTTCGAAATGACGGCGAAGGGGTTGCACTCGGTGTACAATTAAAATGAGTAAGGTCGCAATAAATCAACTGCAAAGATATTTACTGCCTCTTTTATGCCACTTTAATTTTTATCCGAGTATAGTAATTGACATCATTTATATAAGTTTTGAGGACAAAAGAGTAAATAATGTATTAAGAAAAAACACTTTTTTCTTTGCAATTTGCATGTTTTAAACGCGAAATTGTATTTTTTTTCTTGGACGTATGTAATAAAAACACCAGTGCGGTTTTGGGTTAATTATTTTTTTAAACAATTACTTGACTTCAATGTTATTATCCACTTTTAATAAATTGACCCCGACATATGGAATAAATAAATTCCAAAGGCAATGATGTGTTTTAAATGGCGAATCAGAATCGAATTCTTGTTCGAACTAAACGAATCGTGTAGCAGCGTTCAATTGAAATAATTGTAGAAATATTCAATATTTAATTTAGCATTCAAATGCTACTGCAGTAGGAAACAATTATTTTATTGTATATGTTTACTGTATATACATATAATTCAGCACTACAACGCCTTTATATTACCCTAATAAATTTTCTGTAATAATAAAACAAATAAATTTTATTAAAACTATTTTTCCCTTGGAAACTTATCTTGACATATTAATTGAACAGTTTAGTAGCACGCGACGCACTACACTGAAAAATGGCCAGGTCTCGATATTTCGTGACTTGAACCGTAAAAGTTTCGAACGATATTTTCAATTAGTTTTGCCGTATTTTTCTACAACCTTGCAACGGTCGCTCCAAGTAGTGCAACAAGTTATTGGAAAGCTGTCTGCTAAAGTAACGTTTAAATTTTAAGAAAAATATTCATTTTATATTTTTTAATTTAGCAACACTGTAATATCAAATGAAGGTACAACATTTTTTATAACGAAATATGTAAAAAAAGTCTCATTTAAAAAATACATTGTTGTATTAAAAAATTTAAGGGAAATTTGGAAATGTTAAAGAAGATGAAACATATTAATTATGAATAGTTATTAAAAAACCAGTTGTAACTTTTCGACAAAGCGTTCAAGGGACACATTTGTATACTTTTTCCTTTTTTTGTAGTTTTGTCCAATACATAACGTTCTTGTTGGGCCGAGCATTTCAGGTAGGCCCTGTATGCAGTCTGTTCGATATTGTTCTGCATTGCAGTTGACCGAAAGCAAAGCGGTAAATTAAACAAATTACGTCTAGCCGAATCGGAACACTTTGGCCTGCGTTTAACGTTTTGTGCAGACGCGAAAAAAATATTTATTTATGGCCGGCATAAATTTTCGCGCGTATGCACCTCCACCCCGGAATGCATGTGTGAAAAAAAAGAGTTCGGGGCACAATAAACTTCAATAAAATGCAAAAATAGCACTGCGACAATTTGCTGTAATCGGCATTAATCTTCTTTATTTTGAGATTAAAAAATCCAATATCGGTAAGTGGGTTTTATGGACAGGATTAGTGCCCATTTTTTCACATACAACATAATAAAAACTGATGATTTTATGCCACTTAAAAGCCATAAAGTCACAGTTAGTCGATGGGGGAGTAGATAAAATTATTTAATTATATTATTTGATGAGCTAGTTATGGCATAAATTTCCGTTTCTTTCAAAAGGAACATATCAAACCCAATTTTTAGAATTTTCAAAATATTCATAATTCTAAAAATAATGGTGTCGGATTTTTTTGTTGATATTTGCGAATTTACCGCTTAATCAAATAATTAGGCTAAACACCTTAAAAAATATATCTTATCAACGAATTGTAAAAATAAAACCTAAATATACTCAACTACTTATTATAATTATTATTAGACGACATCATTGTTAATATAGTGAAGTTTTAGAACATGCAATTTTTATATTATTAATTTTGCAATAAGGTTACCAGGGTAACAGTTAATTTTATCATTTCTCTAAAATAACCCAAACATGCACAATGTATATGTGCGAAAGGATGCCCAACAAAAACGGGCGCTGGCT